CTACAGGGGTCACAGAAACCTCAGTCAGAGAAAGATCAGGCCCTGAACACTTCGAAGAAAATTTCATAATCTGGAGTCATAGATGCTGTGTGTAGACTGGTGTCGACTCTTTGAGGCCATTTCGGCAGCTTCATCAGAAAGTCCTGCTGATCTGAAGGACTGTTTGACAACAGCCAACAGGTCAGGTGTAGTGACGTCAGGTGAGGGTGAAGCATGCTTGACTTCGGCTGATGTAGCAGATCCGGTCTGTCAGGAAGGATCACCAGTACCCGGACGAGAAGTCTGGTCAGATGCAGGAACCACGGCTGGCGTGGCCAGAAGGGGGCGATGGGAAGGACACAGCAGTGTTCCCTTTCGATCTTGGAGAGAGCTGCCGGTATTAGGGATATTGGAGGGAAAGCATAAGCCAACATCCCTTCCCGATTGATTTGAAGAGTGTTCGTTGCTCAGGCTAGCGGGTAGTAAATTCTGGTGCAGAATACTGGCAGTTGGGCATTCTCCGCCGAGGCAAAAAGATCGACGATAGGGTTTTTCTACTTTGGTGAAGATCTGTTCGACTACACTGGTGTGCAGAGTCCACTCATTGGGATGAACCTTTCCCCGAGAGAGAGCATCTGCTATGGAGTTGTCGACACCAGGAATGTGAGTCACCTGGAGGTCGATGCCATAATCCTGGGCCCAAAGGAATATCTGTCTCATCAGGAAGAATGTGCGCCTCCCTGGCGATTGATGCATGACACCACTGTGGAATGGTCCGGGCGGATGGGGACTCATTTGCCTATGATGCTTGAACGGCAAGCCTTCAGTGCATTGAATACGGCCTGAAGTTCCAGTATATTGATGTGACTAACTTGGAGCTGGAGGTCCCATGTTCCCGATGCTTGAAGTGGCGGTAGGGAGGCTCCCCAGCCCAGATGAGAAGTGTCCAAGGTTATAGTTATTTCCGGGTTTACCTTGGGTAAGGAAACTCCGAGAGAGAGGTGCTCCTTCACTAACCACCACTGAAGATGGTGGCGGATGATGTCTGATATGGGGACCTGGAGATTGATTTAGCCCCATTTTGGCCTATAGAGCGCTAAGAGATGAAGTTGTAGTGGGTGCATGTACAGCTGCCAGAGGGAAATGAGATCCACCATGCTGGCCATCAAGCCAAGGAGATGGAGCCAGATGCAGGCCGGAGAAGACTGCTTGGTAGAGAAGACTTTCACACAGTCAAGAAGATTGTTGATGCGTTTGGTTGTATTATGTCTTGTTGGAGGTCGATAGATGCCTCTAGATACGTTGGGTATTGCATTGGGGTGAGATTTGAGCCGTCGATTTGTGATGTCACAAGTGAGGTGGGTAGAAACCTCTGCTTTGTTGAACAATCTGCCGACGATCAGCCAGTCGTCCAGGTACTGGAACAGCAAGATGTCCCGCTTTTGAAGGTGAGCGGCGACGATCTTTTCAACCCTCAAGAACACCCTCGGTTAGGTGGAGAGGCCGAAGGGGACAGAATGTTGAAATGAAGCCCTTGTTTGCTTGAGATTTGGGAACCGGGCGGATAGCAAGTTTCGGAAGGAGAGAGTAAATCTCGGACAGCAGCGCCTGTCATTTGTTTTTGCCAGGAGGAACTGAAGTCGGATGGAGGATAAGTACAAACGGAGGGGTGCTCGTGAATTCAAGGGCGTATCCGTAACGAATGGTCGCGAGCACTTAGCTGTCCAATGTGACTTTCTCCGAAGACCCGGCAAAGAGTTGCCCTCCGACGGGTCTGAGATCGGCAGGAGGAGGCAAATCTGAATAGTAAGCAACGCCTACCCCCAGGAGGTCAGGGGTAGCATGGCTCGGTGTTTCTTCCCTTGAAACTCCTCTGGGGTAGCTTAATATAACTGCCCTGACGTGGAGGTCTGAAGGGTCGAGGCGGCGATCATCAGGACGGCGAGGTGGAGCCACCAGTGGAAGGCCACAGAATCTAAGTTTACGTGTTGTGTCAATGCACTTAACTTCAGACTCCATCCTGTTCATGAACTTCCCTCTGAAAAGTTCCTGAAGTCTTGACTTGACTCCCTCCGGGAATGCTCATGGCGTCTAAGGTATTCGATCTGCATGCAGACGTGGCTAAAACGGAGATCCGAACAAACTGCTCAAAGACAGAGTTGACATTCTCATCAAGTCCTCGAAGTGCGACAGCTGCCTGGTCCGGAGTAACTGTTGAATCTTTATCACACGCTCGGGACAAATACTCAGAGAGGATTTCTAAAAATGTGATGCAGCGAAGGCCATGTTGTGAGGCTTTGTCGAGTTTAGCAAGAGTAGACTCGATGAAACACTTGTCTTTAAATGGAGACTTTCCTGTAGGCTTGTGAGCGTCAGAGGAAAGTTTATTTTTAGCCTCTGTTGGAATCTCAAGGACAGAGAGAAAGTTGTCAAAGTCCTCCCTAGCAAACTGGAAATAAGTTGAGGCCCTAGGCGGGTATGGACGCCATTGTTTGGTACCGGCAAGAACTTTAAACATCTCGGCGCATGAGCGGTCAAGTGGAAGTTCAGGAAAAATTGGCGTTGATGCCTCCAACCTAGCGAGGTGGCCCTTGAAGGAAGCATGTGGAGCGGCCTCAGCTGTAGATTGATTAAAAGGCAGGCCTAATATATGGATCATATTCTTCTGAAGAAGACAGAGCCGTGCCTCAGGAGGGTTAAGGTTGGCTGCATAGGAGATATCCTTATCTTCAGAGGACGTATCCCATTCCATCCGGAGTTGATCCGAGGAAGGAGGAATGTCATCATGTCTTATTGGGTGGCCAGGGACTGGAGCAGGAGGCGAGCTGTAGTCTGTGCTGGAACCTGGATAAGTTGAAGGGACGAAACCATTATATGAAGATCAGATCGCCGATGAATGCAGGTTTGGATGCGAATGCTGAATCTTGAAGATCTGGGTGTCGATGTGGATCCGGGTGTGGATTACGTTGCGCCAGCAAAGGGTTTGGATCTCGGGCCGTCACCGCGGGAGCAGGATTGGGCTCTAGAGGGCTGGCTGTAGAAGAGAGCTTCTCCAAGAGCATGCAGACCGCTGACATTCTGTGAGGAGTGAGACTTCTTACGCTTAGAATGTTTGCATTTCTTGCATACGGGAGAACTGGTTGTAGAGCCAGCAGTCGACGGCTGTTGGGCTGGGGCATCGGAGGCGTGCCCAGACTGCAGTTAAGATACAGCAGGAGAGGGCTGGTGAATTGCAGAGGTAGAAGCAGTCTTCCCATAAAGGCCCAGAAGGTATCTGGAAGACAGAGTGACAGACGCGGGTCGAAAGCCCTGACGGCGCAGGAGGCCGGTGGGCTCTGTTGTCCCAAGCGTGGGTGGTGGTGAGCCCGCATGGCCCGGTATTGTCTCTGCAGGTACCGCACTGGGGAGCAGCATTGTGTTAGTCCGTGGAGCGTCAGCATCTTTGTCACAGCTGGGTGCCCCGGTTGAAAGGGTGTCTGAAGACAATGGCATCAGGGGTGATGCGGCTGGTGTAGCTAGCGTTGGTGGCGTGAGGCCCCTCTGGCGCATAGACTTGTGAGCCATGCTGATGTCGGGTGTTGCCCATGGCAGCTTGTTGTCAGCCCGTGTCACCCATTCAGAATGCTTAGGAACTGGGATGCAGAAATGTTGTGCCCAGACCCAGCAAGCGGGGTAAAAGTTCAACCCCAAGTGCAGTGCCACTCTGCACTATCGTTGACTGCGATGCTTCGGTGTTACGTCGAGCATCGATATTGCACACACTGCAGCTCAGGCCCTTGAAGCATGGCGTAGGCTAACCCTGAACTGAACCAAAGATGGTATTGCCAGCAGGGATTAGCTGTGGGATCACAAGTTTAGCTAGATGCCACTCGATCCTCCGCAGACCAACTTCTGTCAGTCTATAGGGGAGTGTAAGGTCGCAGAATTCGGAACACTCGTACTTCCTCGTGAACCCCACCAAACCCAGGGTCGCTCCATTGACCCTATAAATATACCAAGGAAAGAGGGGGACCGCGGTATTAGATCGCTTGCACCACCTTGTGGACCCCCAACAATCCCAGGGTCGCCCCGTTGACCCTATGTATTGCTTGGTAGTAATAGCGTAGAGTCAATAATCTATAAAATGCGTACATGAGGAGAGAAAATATACCACCAAAACAAGAAAATATACACATTAACTCAGAAATATAGAATGTACATTTATTACAATACGTTACGGTTTGATCAGAATATCACAAACGTGTGGAGCGAAATGGAAACTTGATAAACCCGAAGATGTCAAAAAGACAAATCCGTTTAGAATCACGCTAAGGAAAAGAAGAACAAACATGGCAGCCATTCCGCTATGCGTCATGGGACTTGAGGGCGCACTACGGTTGATCAGCAATTTTAGGGAATTGAATCAGACGCAACGGAATTTGCATATTTAGTGACTGTTTAGGGTAGGTTGAAAGCAGAAGACTCAATAAAATAAGGTGACTGGGTAGCAAAGCATGTATGGGACTCTGACCAGGGCTGTGCCAACAGGGAAAGACCTTGAACACACTTCATTTTGGGCATGCAGTGTTGGATTAATGCCAAACTGGCTCACTGAATAACAGTCCATCCTTCGGCTAAGTTTAACCACTTGTGGCTGGTATTATTTTGGGCCAAAAATTTCAAAGTTTGGTAAGAAAACAGAAAAATATATAGTTTGATGTTGAAATGGTGCAATAACATGTTTGAATGTCAATAGATGAGTCAAGGCATGCTTTATGTTTGAACCTGTCAGCCATGTCTGTGTGTACAGATATCCAGATCATGTTGCACCCTGTGGAGCAAAGTGAAAGGGCACTACACATAGATGTATGGTATTTATCAATGATTTCCATAAGCAAAATGAAATTACACCATGAGTCATGTACACGATGATTTTGCATCTACCTTACTGAAGGACATCGTAAGATTGTTTGTGCATTTCACAACTTTTTCCAAATCCTCCATTTTTGCACTGAGATTTTTAATAGCGGTAGTTTACTCACTTGAAAAAGGTTCCAGTCAGAATACCAGGAAGGTCTGTATGTTCCATTTTTATTGGCCGCTGAGCTGCTACTAATTTGCCCTGAAAGAAAATCATCAGCAAAGCTCCCATCAGTCTTTCATAATTCACTACTGGCTTGACAGAATTTATTTTATTTTTTGAATCACTTTTTCACCGTGCTTCACAAGGTGAATTAAAAATACAAAAATAACCATCATTACATATACATTAATGCCAGAACAGACTTAAAGGCCAATGGCCAGAGACTGTTGTCCTTTAAAGCAAAGAACAGATGTCAACTACCCAGCCAGCTCATAGCCCTGCTTCAACTCCCCTTGAATTTCTTAACCTGCATTGTAGGTGCTCATGGGCAAGACACTTGACATTCATATGACTCCTCATGGGTACCAATAATGACCGGAGAAGAGGTCATATCCCAAGCCAATTTCCTGTAATACAACTACATCCGTCAACCAGTGAAGTACATGTGCTAAGCCCTAGAAAAAAGATTCAGACATAGCTGAACTCGCAATGGACTTGTATCCCATGCAAGGGGAAGAAAATATTTTCTTTGCAAACCAGAACAAACTTACTGTGACATCTTCAAAGTAGAGGTAATATGTGAAGTAGAAATCTCCATGTCTTACTGCTGCAGTGTAATAGCCCTGCATCAGATAGTCATGCATCATGGGAACTATGCTCCACACCTTCATAAAGAAAATTGACAATTAATAATAACTGACTTATTCACTGACCAAAATAAAAAACCTTTATTGAAGATTGTCATGCTCATGTCATATTAACTGCCTCTTCAACCAACTATGGTTTACAACTTTCTATAATCTATGTGTGCCTCAAAGTCAAGTAGTGGCACATGCAAACGTACTGCCACCTCAGGAACAGTTTCTTTCCATTTGAGCTAACCATGTGGTGACACATTTCATTCATAGGTGATAAATGAGGATACAGTTTGGTATGTATGAGAGATGTTCTGGACTCACATGAACTCTCTTACTACACTTTTAGCTTTAATTCTTGGTTGAACATTTTCCCAACATTCTCATTTTGGCAAAAAGCAGAAAAGTATGCCAGCTGCTATTTTAAAGGGTAACAGAAATTGAAAGCATTTAGTTCACGTGAAGTATTTAAAATAATTTAATAAATACGTGACCATTTCAAAAACATCATAAATTTAATGTTTACCCCATTAATTGTGACCCCAAAATGAATAAAAAGATCCCGAGTTTCCCCGCCCACAGGCTGATTGGATGACGTCAACGCCAGAACGCATCCATGGACAGTGTACGCGTACAGTACGTAATGCACAATACATGCAGTATCACACGCTTGCAAAAGACCATGTTGTGTTTGACGTAGCTTGGCCCACAGGCAAACACTGTCTCAGTTTAAGAAATACACATTAGGACTGGGTCTTTTAATTTCTACCTTGAACTGAGACAGTATTCGCCTGTGGGCCAAGCTACATTAAACACAACATGGTCTATTGTAAGCATGCGATACTGCCATTAACATGCACGTGCCTTATGTACATGTACACTGTGCATGTGCTGGGGATGACGTCATCCAATCAGCCTTGGAACGCGAACCGCCAAAAGGGGATTTTTTGTGGATAGGGAAATGCAGGATCTTTTGATTCATTTGGAGGTCACAGTTAATCAGGAAAACATTACCTTTATGATGTCTTTGAAATTGGTTACGTATTCAATGTTATTTTGAAATACTTCATAAAAAATAAATACTTTCGATTTCTGTTACCCTTTAATCTGCCTGTGACTGTAATTTGGCTTATATACATGTCTACCATAATTCGAAAAGTTTGTGAAAACATTTGGTTGATTAAATATTAAAATTGTCTTAAAATATGATTTTTTCATTCTATTTGATGTGCTTGGCATTTGTAATACTACAGCCTGCCCTTGTGAAATCTTTACTTGACATGTGACTTTCACAAAAGGGTTAATAGTACATGTAATGCAAAAGGTCCAACCCCATATTTTTGATGACTGTAATTGTTCTGACCTTCATAGAAAAGCAGCTAATGTGTGGTGACTGCAAAGCTTTACAAACCTTTTCTTTGACCAATGCAGCAGAGTCCTGGCCCCTATTCTCTTTATTCAATAGACCTAATGTTCCCAAAGAGGGTGCTGTAATCTGATCTGTCTTCCTATCAACATGGACAAAATGCACAAGACCAGGGAAATCCTCCAAGTAGGTGGTCATGGTAATATTGCGCTGTGCCTTGATGCTCAAGTATTGCTGGTAGTGAAACAAGCTCTCCCGCAGTAGTTGTTGGGATTCTTTAATGGTTTCTGCATACTTCTTGGATACACCTTCAGGGCTTGACTTGACGTTGAAATAACGGGCTTTGAAGATTACTTTAAGAATACGCATCATCTCTGACAAAGCTGCTTCCAACCTGAAAATCAAAAGTGGAATAGATTTCAACAGACAGGAAATGATAACTAAAAAGGGTATTTCAGCTGAGTATATACATGTACATCTAAGAATTTGAGAATATTCAATTTTTCAAATGTACTTCTTATTTGTGTGTCGGTGTGACTGGACGTTTCAGTGACATTGTCTCTGTTCTCATTTTTTTAAAAACCTTTTTAGGGATCATTACTGCTCCTGTGCATCCACTATGTGTTTATATCATGCAACCTGTGCTGATGAGGTTGACATTTGTATTAATTTCATTGGGGATCCTAAGGATTTGGGTACTTCAAAAGCTCTAGATGGGTCACTACCATTTACAAATATCTCGTTGGAACTAACTAAACATAGCAGTCACTATCCTCTGCCATGTATGCACTGCCTTCGCTACAGCAGAGAACTCTTTGCCCTTGTAGTAGCTAAGTTATTGTCAGTGCGCCCTCATTGGACAAACTTGTTAAATGCAAGGTCAAAGGTTGTTCACCAATTATTCTTCCGAAGCCTCATGCATGTCATGATTATCGCTCTGTTTTCATGTGGAAACTTTGCATTAAAAGGTCAGTTTATTCTCGTGACATTAAACCGGCTTGCAAGTTAAATACAGCCTATCATGTTGTTACTAAACCCTCAACACAGGTGAAAAATATTCCAAACTTTCAGAATATGAATAGCAAACTTTGAAGTTTCTGGGTATATGTAAAACTAAGGAAACCAAACGTAGATGCAGAGCGGGAAAGAAATGCAAGAGACATATACAGTTTGTTATAAGTCAGCGTTATTCCCTGCCCTAAGTCAAACACTGCAGTTTGACAGATGATCTGTAAACTTAATTATCTTGAAACCTACTACTGTTACCAGTATAGATTCCAGTTCTCAGCAACTCTGCCTTTGGAATACCATTATCCCCTTCCATCATTTTAATCAACACTCTATCCCTAGTGAAGCAGATTCATGATAACTCAACTTGATTCTTTCTAGTCAGGACATTGATATTGTAACAAACGAAATTTCACGCACTGCAAATCCATTTGGTTACGTTCATGTACTTCCCCACATGTAATAGGAATTTCTTTCTTACATAGCCCGGGACAAACAGTGTATTGTCAATGCCTTGCCAAGCATGTGCGGGTTAGGGCGTGGTGCAGCGCCATATTCAAGATGGCCATTCCTACACGTGCTGTCGTGAGAGGAGTGACGCAGAGTGCTGTTCTCTCTTCGTTTTTCTTTGTTTATAGCCATTGCTTTCCTCCTTGGTCATTTTTCTGAAGTAAAAGCTATTGCTGCACAGAGTCCTGACAGTTGGCTGTGGCCGACAATAATTTAGGCATGCGGGACGAGATTCTGGCGAAGAAATTTTGAGATATCTTTCATATGTAATTTTGATTGTTGTAAAGCAATAATGAGTCAATTGCAATGAACGATTGTATTTTTTTGTCAGTCTTTTTTGCAAGTTTCTTAGCTCATGTTTAATGGTCGAATCACAATCTGATGGGAATTCGATGTGCCGATATTTGAACATAGTTGAACAGTTTGAACATAGTTTTATCATAAAGACAGATCGTTCAGACACATAGTATATATTTGTCCTTTAGGAGTATAATACCGTTGCTGCCGATAAGAAGCAGGGAATGCTGTACATCTTCCCCCTCACTAATATTCTGGCAGGTACAATGCTTAATGTAAATTTTATTATTCACAGTAAGAAATTATGGGCGACGTGTGCATTATATTTCACTATAATGTGTTAACATATTGATGTATGAAAGGATTCCCTAAAACACGAGATTTCTGCTTAACAGAACATGTTTAGTATTGTAGACTAAAGTCATCAATGGTTGAGAGATGTGTTTCAAGTGCATGCTACCATCCTCTGAAACCTACACTGTTTTATATATACTGTACTATTTTCCATACATTGGAATTTTTATAGGAGGGTGACCCCTCTTTCAATGATTGTACATTTGCAGAATTGCTTAACTTTACAATTATAATACATTAGGATTTTGTAATTCTTCTCTACGCAGATCTGTCATCCTCTGGTAGCCTTGTTCCTTTCCCCTAGTTCTCACGTGCTGACCTTACATTTTGCTGTATCTTCGCCAGGTTTGAATAAGATGCACAATTTTCACCATAAATTATTGTCTTTCCGAGAAATTTGTTCAATAATAAATCCAACACATGTTCCTAATTTCTGTTTTGAGCCCAGTTAAGAAATAAATCATCTCAAGAGCTACCTGCAAGAAAAAATCCAACTGAGTTTTTTTATTTCATTCTTCTTTGTACATTATAAATTTTGGAACTGCTAGCTAAGTCTGAAACTACTGTGTAGTGCAGTGGTGAAATCAAGTAAGTACTCGGTCTAGTTGTTGATATGCAGGACTGCCGACAGGAAGAGTTTCAGATGCGCAAGTGACCGAGCAGTTTTAGTGGTTTACTTTCTTTTCATAACCAGCGGGTAGACTGTAAAGGCATTAGCAAATGTTTTGCATTTAAGTGACTCTACATTTAGTGAATGTCTGTTGAAAGCAGGAGAAATATACAGATATCGTAAAAAAAACTTTCCTTATGTTGGATCCCAAATTTGTTTGACAATAAAATATAAAACCGTCTTTCCCAAATATGATGTTGTGAAGACGTCATCATGGATCATGTGACGTCATCATAATCATTTACATGTGAAGTTTAAGCCGTCATATCTTACAAACTGTAGGTTCAATTGGAATGACACATTATATGTGTGTATACATAATGCATTACAGATGAAACTTGAGGTGAGGTCATAATGATATCATCACTTGATTTTTTTTAGAAATTCTTTTTTTTTTAAATACATTTCAACATGTTTTATAATTTATCTTTGGAATACAAAGCTCACCAAGCCATTTCGACCCACGAATGAAGCAATGGATTTCCTGGCGGGTTGAAGGGACACTACTGTATTCTGGTTTTTTCTTGCGAACTCCCATGTACTCGCGAGATCGTTTTCGCGTGTAAATGGAATTGCCAAACATGCTCATTAACGGAGGGGCTGTGCGCTGACTGCACTACAAAGGAACTTATGTCAGGATAGTATGTGGGGCGTGGCCAGGCCGAACAGAAGAATATTTGGAGATCCTGGAATTATTAGATGAAAGGAGTGGGTAGAATACGTGACAATGAGAAGTTGGGTGAACGCGGATCCCCGAGGCGTGGATGTTGAATTGAAATGCGTAATCATCAGTCACAGATAGAGGGGAGCCTGTTCAGAGATCGTGGTTGATTGTTACCGCGCTTGAGTGCCCTGATGCCGAAGTTTCAGACGTCAGAGGGCTTAATTGGGCACTGGGTCTGCAAGTAGGGTGTTGGCATCTACCACAGGCATAAATGACCCGAAAACCTGTGGGGAGAATAAACACACAGTAGGCTGATTGTATCGCATTTTATTCACCGGGATAATTCCAGAGAATGGTAGAGAGATGCCCATGTAGCAGATTTCTCTGTTTCCCGCCCAGCTGGCCCCCGGCACGGGAGTCTTGAGTGCTAGCCGGCGGTCTGATGCGTATTGTAGCGGTAGGCCTATGAGCTATTGTTCGGGTCATGGTCACAGTTAAGCATGTGTGACTCTGACTCGCATTCACTAGTATCATGTATAGGGGCCGTACGAGCAAATGACGTAAGGTGGTCCGGTAGAGTAAACATGTACATGTAATGCGCACAAGCCCCAAAAAGTGGACAGATCAAGGCAGAAGCTTAGGCCTGGATAAGAAACATCACCACACTGTAAAGAAGAAGAATTGGTCGAACAGCGTTGGGCATTTGTTATTTGTCCAATCTTGGTTAAAGTTGCCACATTAATGGTTAATTTCCATCACTATTGGTCAAACATTGACCAACGATTGGGAAGAATTTGCACAAGGTTGGGACATTGTTATCTACACCAACATTGGGTACAATATAAATCAAAAGTTGAAAACCTTTTCACAGCGCAGTTGTACCCGGGTAAGTTGAAGAATTGTTATTGAATGAATTTGTTAACCCCTTTGCGCCGGGACGCGGCTAGACACGCTGTAAAAATTGAGATCCTCAGCCCACTTTTCAGCTATTATTGTCGGCCCACGCTCGAGCGAACACAGTGAAAGAAGGCAGACCCTGGCTCTTGTATATATAGTAATTGGCCTTTGTGTGTAGCCCAGAGATGAAAAGACCAAATTTGCATCGTAATCACCAGCTTCACAATAGTCATCACTTTGAAAAGAGGCAACGGGAATGTGGAAGCGTGACTAGACCGCATGCCAACGAACAATCAGTCTTTTCATCGTGTAATTCAAAGCATGCAGAGCACGGTTTGGCAGGTGGCCTTCGTGGCCAAGCGAGGATGGAATTCTTGGAGTCGGCTTTTGGAAAGAAATTCCCGCCGCAAAGGGGTTAAGTGCGAAAAATAAAATGAATGGGTGTTCACGTATTGGATGGACTGATGGAGCCGGCTGTGAAGCCGGAAATGAAGCTGGAAGTCGGAAGCGGAGCCAGTTACAAATCTGGGTGAGGATCTGAATGGAGATCCTCACATCGGGGATTTGGGTCAGGAGCAGTCACCGGGGGAGTTGAGGTTGACTCAAGGTGGCTGACTAAAGTGGACAGCATTTCCGAGAGAGCGGACCACCATCATCAAATTACATGAAGAAATACATGTATCTTGCTTACGCACCATTTCAAAATTCTTATTGGGTAGGTGTTGGACAGAACGGTCCGACCAATACATTTATTATTGGTTGGCTATCAGGTTAAGTGTTCTCAAGTGGCCAACTCTAACTGATAAATGCCTTTTTATTGCATTACTTCCAAGGCTATGTAGTTTCAGTGGAGCAACACCCCCTCCGTTATTCACCACAAGTCACTGTTATCGGTCAAATGGCCCTGTCATATAGTCATCCGATAGGAATTTTGAAATGATGCCTTAGGTGTAGAGCGAGATGTTGAATTTGAATTTGAACCCCGCAGAAGACGATTAGAGTGCACGCTTCTTACGTGCAGGTGATCCAGCCGTAGAACCTTAAGGAAGAAGCAGAATGTCCAAAATGCAGGTCGTGGTCGCCTGAAGCAGGCTGAGCTGCAGGGAGCTGTGACAGAAGCACCCTGGGGACGCTTGAACGAAGCGTGTCCTTACTCCGTGCGTAGGGTCTGATGATGGGAGCCCAAGAACTTGGATCATGTCACGATCAAGAAGGCAGAGGCGGCCCTCAGGTTGGGTCAGGCCAGCAAGAGTCATTGTCGCCATCCTCGGAAGAGAGAAGTTGAAGACCTGCAGAAGGGAGAGCCGAACCGTGCTCGGAGCGGAGAGAGTCACCATGATCCGGGACATGATCCTGAGCCGGGTCCCATTAGGGAGGTGGTTCTGGCTGGACGACAGAAACCACTTTAGCCTCTGAGAACGCAGAGAATGCATCATGGGCGCAATACGATTGATCAAATTTTTAGTGACTGTTTGGGGTAGGCTGAAAGCAAAAGACTGCAGTAAAATTACAATAGTTATAAACATCAAACTACTGCAGTGTTCATTATAGAAGTAAACTGGCCACAGTATTCCTTTTTGGACTATCAGTTGGGGGACATCCTGTACAAGACAACACATTTAACAAAAATATCTTGGCTACTTTGCAACCTGTTCAGGATGTCTATCCCAGGTAAATACTACTTTGAATCTGAAGCAGGTAACAGTTTTGTCAGATATAGTCAAAAACTCTAAGCCAATTGGGGTGAGAAAATGCTCTCAAGACATCCCTAACAGTCCCATATCCTCAGATATTAATATGATTTTACACACACACTAGGGGGTTAGGGTTTGGAGAAGCCAGTCACAACTTCTTTAGTAAAATTCTAGGACAAAATTATTGGAAATCCATCACACAATAAAAGTGATGTACACAATTGGTGAAATTTAATCATTTAATCCCGAAATATCTTACTTGAAAGAAAGTACATAACAGCCTCAGTCAGTCTGTAAAATATTTCTGCCCAGAATGCTGTAGTTATCGTGAACACAAAAATGTTGTTCTCTTTTTCACAATGGTAATCTGACTACCGTGTAAGAGTTCATTTCACTTGGCACACCACATTTGTTCACAGGTGCCAATTTTGTGTGTGTAGTGTTTGCAGATGTTCTGAGAGTCTCCATTCATGAACGGGTAATGCAAAAGGCTGCTAACAAAATGTACCAACAGAAAGTCGCCAAACTCACTGTAAACTCAAACGATAGGGCAAGGTGTAAAATACAAAATAAATAAACTGGATTGGTGTGGAGTTAAATTTTATCTAAGGAAAGGATTTTCTCAACACAAAAACTTTGCAAATTCAAAATCACCCCTTGAACATAATGATATTATCCAAATATGGTGGTTGCTTCCAAGCTGCCTTGCAAAAGGATTTTCATCAACAAAAAGTACAATCTCTACACCTTAAACCTTACAATTATTAGTCAACTAAGAATGGAGATGGAGTTCTTAGACTTTCTTTGACATGTAAACTCATGTGAAAGTGTGGTCATTACATTGTCACAGGCCTACTTGTATCGTGCATGGATGTTCATTATCATAGGCCTACTTGTTTCAGTGTCACAGACACTAGTCGACTACATTCCAGGATGAGGTTTTTTCATGAATCCACAGTGCGGTACATTGTCAAGGAGGCGCGTTACTCATTGACATTCACTGATTAGTCCTGGCCGTCAATTGTCATACCTGTTCCCCACCCTGACGGTGTTATTCCCTTACTATGCTTACTAACACCTTGTACTTCATAGATTTTACGCAAGATAAATTACAAGATTTTCAACATTAGTCTTGTCATTTACCTTGGTGCCATTGAAGATGTTTTGCTGGTGTCTAAGTAGGTCTGTAGACCAAAGCGTTTCACATGCTGCCAACACTCCTTGAGCTCACTCTGATGCCTTAACATGCTACTTGTCTACAGTCAACAATAAAATAAAACATAGAGACTGGTGAAACAAGGCCGACAGGAGTTCAAGGTTTATCAAACTCCCCATTTTGTTTTCGAATATCATATTGAAAGGAAATAATTGTATCATTGATGTCAATCTTAAGAATAAAATCCACATGTTATCCCTTCCTCCATATCCACTTGCAGTCAAAATACAGAATTACTGAGTGAATTTTGCTTGATTAATTGTGGTCAACTGCCCCCTTTCTGTTGCACTCACTTACTGCTGCCAGTGGAAGTAACTAAACATGTTTCTCAATTTGCACTATCCCAACCAATTTGTGTTACAGTCTTCCTTCAGGAAGAAGATGACGGTCAACATCACAACTCCTTGACTACCATCAGTTCAACTTTGGATTTGACTAACAGTCACATACCCCCCCCCAAAAAAAAACGAAAAAGATTTTCTTTAGTAGTGATTAATATCTTCCATCACAATAGCACAGGTACTGCCCCCCCCAAAAAAAGTAATATAAAAATGAGAGGTTATCTTTCTGTTGGCCAACAGAACAAAGGGCTTTTTCGCATCCCTTTCTTAAGTTGAACAATCAATCTACTGCACAAACCTAATGGTGTAAATCTGTCATTATGACCATTTGGATCCAAGGTTTCAACCACATAGGACATGTCCTTCAGGAGATAAAAGGCTTTGAAATTTACAGATTTCATGCCAAGTCAAAAACATGTACAAAACCTAGGGGGGGGGAATACAATGTTCAAAAATCAATACAAAAATAAGGTGAAGAAGTCATCATAATGTCATTCATTTTCAATAAATCTTGCATCAGGGTCTTTGTTGGCTATCACTTTGAAAGTGATCAAACATTGCAAAGGTTTGAAAATAACGGCTTGAATACATGTACGTCAATGGGAAAAATTAAATATTCAAAATTCAAAAAGAAATCGCATGATGACGTCATCATCACAAATTTCTTCTAGGACTATCCTTGGATGATTGTCCAAAGACCTGCCAAGTTTGAAGTCAATCAAAAATTGCAAAAGGGGAGAAGTCCTGCTCAGAACGAAAACCCATGTTATAGAATGGGATTTGAGAAGAAATTAAAAAAATAATAATAATTAACAAAAACAATAGCTGTTTTGGCCGGTGCCTGAAACAGCTAATTATCTTTGTTTTATAGTTAGTACTTGCTGCAAGTTTGACGACGATCAACGATTACTAAAGTACAAAAATAATGCCTCAAAAACGTGTACAAAGTCAATGGGCTACAATAAATAGGTAAAAATCGATAATAAATCACTTGATGATGTCACGTCATGTTTCTAGGACCATCTATGCATAAGGGTTGTCATTGGTATAAGTTTGATGATGATCCAAAGTTGAAAAATGACTAAAGTGACCGGAAGAAAAAAACGTGTACAAAACAAATGGGCTTTTGAGTAATGGAAAAAGGAAGAAGCAAAAAAAAAAAAAAGAATGCCTTTTTCACAAAATTGCGAAAAAGCCAAAAAGTATGTCTTTTTCGCAAACTGCAAAAAAGCCAATGAAAGAAAAAATTGCTGAGGTGTATGCATTGCTTTGTATTTGACTTCAATGAGGCACACTGGAAGACCTTTCCAAAACTTTTATAGGTATCCTGTTAGCATTGATTTTAATCCCATTGTGATGGGGGATATATCCTTCCCCCAGTTTTTGAAGGGGGGAATGGATGAAAGGATCATCCTCTAGTTTTCGTGCCAAGCAAAGATTACAAAATGCTTAGTTTCACCCCATGCAATTAATTAAGAGATGAAAGTAGAAATAAGATAACTTGATAATACATCAGTATAATATTCAGTAATGCTTTCAGAGATGACAGAATAAAGATCACAGGCTAAGATTACCATGTTTCTGATAATATGGGTAATTTTTTCAATATTATGAATTTCTGCCATTTTAGGTAGGAATGATTTGAGGAACAACCGTAACTTCAAACTTTCGGTGCTGTGCTCATATTATTCCACATTGCATTAACAAATAAGGCTAAAAATAGGTAAAGTAAGAGCTATATTATGTTATTGCATGACAATTTTTGATGTGTTCTTAAAATCAGCATCTTCTATTTGCAACACAACAAGATGAAAGAAAAGCATTACTTTTGTTATTCTATTCTATGCAGTGGAATGCCACTGTAACAAACATAATGGGTCCACACAAAATGTTTGGTATTGCGGTCATTCACTATAGCAATTATAACTCATGGATAGACACCCCGTTTCAAACTGCGACCCATATCAAAAGGTGTGCTGCTGCCCGCCCCACAAAAAGTCTCCAAATGAGGATTTTGGGCAAAATTTACCCGCAAGAAATAAATTACAAATAAAAAATGCTGAAATTCTTGCACTTTGTTAAATATATGTTTATCCCTTTCATGTTACACATTTCAGGTAGGTCCTAACTGAAAGGAGAATCAAATAAAAGAAAGTTTTGCTCTAGTACTGCTTAACCACTTCAGACCGGGGCATTTTTCAATGTTGAGGATGCTGGGCCAGCATGACTATCATTTTTTCCGTTTTCAAAGTCCTTCAACAATTCATCATTTCATTTAACGGTTGTTTATAGCTGCACCAAGTAAT